ACAGCCCAACATACTCTAATTTTAACAACGTCTTTAAGCAAACATTCAAAGCTTGGCTATGTTAATAACTCAGGTGTTTTATATGCAAAAATTACTTTCATTCGTTTGCACGGGAGTGAGTAAACGAAATCTGCGTACATCTCAATGCAGATGAAATAACTATACAAAATTTGCTGGTAATGACTAGCTTAACGCTTTCGTAAAATTATGCTGCTGAATGAAGTTGGAAAGCTGAAAGTGTATTTTGAGCTCAATTTCTCTTCTAAATTTTGCTTTATAATAAAAAGTGGATGAACTGATAAAATACAAACGAAAACCTACATGAAAAGTGATTGGTTCTGATTTAAGTTTGAATCTTATAACAAAAGGTAAATTATCATGCATTCTAGCTTTGATTTCTTCATTTGATAAGGAACGACAATGGTTGTCATAGCCCGGTGTTTCTCGTCGTTTCAACGCTTCTCTTCTTAGCATTTCCAGTCTCTAAACATTAATTTCGCTTATGTTTGCTCTTTTATGTTTTAAAAATTAGTCAGTCTCTTTCGCTTTCGAAAATTTCGATGACTTTATCACACCGGAAGTTTCTAGTTTCAATCGAATCCTCATATCAACTAATCCTCCACCATTCGTCCATTGATAACGAAAATTATTACAGTGCAAAAACGAGACGAATACTGAACCTCTTTGGTGCAAAAACATCGATAAGCATGACCGCTATCCACGAGTCGTTCAGCAGCTTCTTGATACAACTTCAGTCTACTTGACTGCACATAAGGACCAAACGGGCCACCTTCACAAGGACCCTCATCTCGTTTTAATCCATAATAATCCAACGTTTTCTCGATCTACGAAACCATTTTTATTGCTACTCTAAAATTACCCTAACAATATCTTTACTTTCCATTTTCTCCAAAGTAACGGTTCAAATGGAATTTTATTGGGGAATGACCACTTTCAAATGCAGTGATATATTGGAATTTGCCGAATGCTTTCGCACGGATCAATTCATGTAACATCGTTAGAACTGGTTCATTGTAAAAGAAATGCTAAAAATGAACAAAATGTGAATCGAAAACGAAACTGACCTGTTGGGAAACACCAGCTACAGCACGTTTTTGATCGGTGTCCTCAATGCGCAATATGAATTTACCTTTATGTGACCGAGAAAAGAGGAAATTATAAAGTGCAGTGCGTAATCCACCCAGATGCATTTTCCCGGTTGGGGATGGAGCAAACCGAACACGAACGCCGTATTTCAATGAGGTCTGAGTGCATTCTGAACGAATGAACTCCAAACGGTAAACGTTGATCGATCGTAACCTCATCTTGCTGAAAATCTAATCTATTGTGANCGTTCTGAACACAACTCTCCTCATTCTGTTTTCATAAATACAACTAAAATCTGCGGAAGGGAATGAAAAACCTGACGTAAGTCTATTCCCCGAGCGATAATCTTGTAGTTAACGTGTTTACGAAAGTAGGCCGAGCGAGCAACACAGCAGTTAAGCGATACGCCACAACGCGGTAGTAGTTATTAAGTCAAACTAACACACTGTGATTTAAGTGTTTAACAAGTGTTCCGAGACAATCAAAATTACGAGCGTGTATCGAAGGCAGCCACAGGAGTGCGCATGTATATCGCTAGTGAGGAGCAAGCTAACGAAAAAAGTTAACGCGCTAATCGCTAACGCTAATCCACTAGTTCGTTAATAGCAAATTAGCGAATTAGCTCGCTAATGCCCATCTCTGCATATCGTAACCACATTAGAGATTCATTGATATTCTCAGATTGCTCTANNNNATTAGCGAATTAACGCGCTCTAATGCCCATCTCTGCATATCGTAACCACATTAGAGATTCATTGATATTCTCAGATTGCTCTACAAACCTATCCATTTGATATGCTCGTCCTAATGAGAAGCACTTGATAATGAGTTCTCGGAGTCCCCAACAAACCTACACTACACTTAAAATAGTAAACAATATATCTTAATTAAACTCTAGCGGTTTATTCGCCAACGACTTCAATACGCTCCGAATGTTGTGATGATAACACTTATTACTGTCCTGAACACGCTAAGATATACGTATTCTGCGATATAACACTTGCTAAATGCAGTTTACTTTGAACTGCAAAGCTTTTTGATTTTCAGACGTCTTTCTTGGTTAAGATTATTTGTCCATCCAATTTTGCAAGGTTTAAGATCTTTCGATGAAATTACTGGAGAAGTCTTTAAAAGATTTGGATGAAGACAAGAGTAAAAACACTGGTTTGGTGCACGCCCATTGTTTAGTTTAGATGAGGCAATTTAAAAGTTATTCCGATTTTCGGTGGTGTACACTCACTTCACCAATTACGAACGGAGTGACAGTTTGTCAAGTGATGGAACTCTCAATTTTATTTGATAGATGTTGAAAAATGTGAATTTCTTATC